AGTTTATACTAGTTTAGAAGTCAGGACCTCACTTCTGTAACCTGATGTAAGTATGTTTATTTTTTTATTATTATTATTAAATATAGGCTTTGCTGATTGGCACCTTACTACCCTATACGTTGCAAATATCAAAGTAGCCATGACATAATAACAAAAGAATATGTCTATTAAAAAAGTATAACGACGCTGAAATTTTTTTCCAGCGGTTTTTTACAGAACAGATAATTAAATTTTCACCATCAAACTATTAAATTCCCCACTGCTGTGATACATGCCTTTCTTATGTTGATGGTATGGAATAGGAAGAATGGGTCATGCCCATGACCCACCACACAATCCCAATTAGGGTTATAATATATAAAGAGTAGATACCCGCTTAGTAAGGAAACGCGCGTTTTGGTGTGGGCTCCGAATTAACCAGGGCATCATATACATTAAGATGCAAAATGTTCGGCTGCCATGCAACAGTGGGAGGGAGTCGGGCAACCTACTGAAGGAAGAGGGGGTATGCACTAGACCTTTCTCCAAGTTCTGGGTCACGTTTATGTAAGACGGCTTACGTGTTGCGATCTAAGCGGTTTTCGGCTTATTTTGATGAGATATTTAACCTTGGCCAGATTGGACGCATTTTTAACATTGAAGAAGATAATATTATGATCAACTTTTTAATTGTGGAATCTAAAATAGGTGCGTGAAATATAGTAATGAAAGGTTCGTAGGTGTTGTTTTTATTGTCATAAAGGTGACAGACTATAGGTTTGTCTGATGGTAAAAAACCAACAGGCAAACTCGATAGCGCGGGTGGTTAGCGCGTTCGGCTACGATCGTTGAAGTTAAGCAACTTTCGCAGTGGTTGGTCATTGGATGGGTGACCGAAAATCTTCTTTCTCGAGTTCCTCCGTGCTTCGGAAGGCACGTTAAGCCGTTGATCCCGGCTCATATGCAGTCGATACCACCCTCCTAACTGGGATTCTGTGGTGGGTCATGGGCATGACCCATTCTTCCTATTCCATACCATCAAAATAAGAAAGGCATGTACCACAGCAGTGGGGAATTTGAACTGTCTGAACTATTGAACAAACTTTCAATCAAATTGAAGCAAATTAATTGAAGAAAAGTAATTTAACAATAAAAATAATCAATTTAAATCGCTTCGTGTGAACCTGGTAGTGACATTTGTGTAAGCGATTAGAAGTGAATAATATGTCAGTCTTTGATGATAGAAAGTTGATTGGCTTTTGCTGACTTTGGAACCAACAAATAGCTTTGAAAGGATCTTACGAAATTGCTAGCTGTTTATGATACTTAAAATAACACAGAAAATTAAAGGAGGTTATGATGACTTTAGTTTTTATTGTGGTCAGACAATTTGTTGGCCAAAATAGAATTAGAATAATGCTTTTTGTGTTGTTTTAAACAGCTTTATATTAGTTACATTTTATTGAGAAAGGACACATCCAAAATCATGCTACATTTGAATGTGCATCAAATGTAATAATATCTTCACACCATCTGAATGGAGCTTATTATTACAATGATTTAAAATTATTTATAACTTCAAACATCCTAGGTTTGCATGCTTCCTACAATGAGACTAAAAACTCAATAGGAGAGAAATGTCTTTGTAAAGATGAAAATTTTATTTTATAAACTGGACCTGTCTGAAAATTCCATTGAAAGCAATCTTTACATATTTTAAGTTACAACCAGCCAATACCATTACATCCATCCAAAAAGAAAGACTTCATTGACATAAGCCCTAAAAATATTTTTCCACCTCACTGGTGGATGATCATCATGATTATCATGAAAATTTAGCCACATTTAATAATAACATTTCAATGTATGCGAGTGATGATGATGACAATTAGTGATAATATTGAATATTTTATTTTTTAATAAAATATTAAATGACGCAACTTTTAAAGTACATAAATGTAATAATATTATATTTTGATTATAGTTATAATAAAGTAGGTACAAATAAAAGTCTGTGATTTGAGCAATTGTTCTTAAAAATTACCTAAAATAATCATTAATTTTTGTTCACTTTTGGCTAGCAGCAATGTTAGCATTTATTTACTTTTGAAGAATTTTAATTTGTGATTTGTTGGTTAATGTTATTTGGGGTTATTTATTAATGTTACTTGGGTGATGTTATATTCTAATAGTAAAAATAAAAATTTAAGCACTAATTTTTATTGTAAGTATGCACTACGTAAATCGACCAAAGTAATACTTTGGCCTTTTTACTAGTTTTTTTGGATAACTAAAAATATAAAAAAATAACGAAAAATATATTTAGAATATGGACTGAAACATTCACGAAGAGTATAGTTATTATAACAAACATGCAAAGTTTCATAAACTACAGATTAGTAGTTATAAAGATATATAATTTTGAAACTTCAACAGCCTCTCCTGAAAAGTCATGATTTTGCACTTTAGCCCTTATACATAGGACCCATTGACATAGGCCTTATTTTATTGCGTTCAAGTAATGTTCACACGTTCACAGTCGAGGCGAATCGCTAGTACCTAGATAGATCTAGGCAGGGGCGTATTAACCCTAGGGCCAAAGGCGCTATGGCCCTGGGCAGCAGACTGCGAGGAGTAACTGCATGAGCTACGTGGAGAGCGGTAGAAACCACATAAAGGCATTCTTTAGGTACTGACCTGTATTTTTAATTAATTACTCGTACGTACGTTCGTATAAAAGGTACGAATTCTAAGTGGCCCGGTCGGTGTGCCAGACTTTAATATACGCCCCTGGGTCTAGGTAGTATTAGCCCATATACGCCCCTGGGTCCTAGCCCACCACGTTTGTGAGGTTGTCAGGGGTAATCTCTAGAGCTACAGAACTATCTTTGAAATTTCTTTTATCAATAGACAGCCACGTTATTTGTGAGTGTTAGAGGCTATATACTAACCCGAACAATGAAAAGAATATCGCGGGCGTAGTCGCAGATGATCGCTAGTAAGTAGTAAAAACATAGGTATCTAGATAGGTGATGTGAATGATTTATAAATCATTTTATAAAACAGTAATATCTGTTTAGGGGAGACCGGACTAGAGCGGGATTATTAAGAAAAAAAAATAGAATATCAAGAACATTACGAATCATTCCCTCTGCTTTAATATAACAGGATTCATCCTAATCCGTTCAGCTGCTTTTGCGTGATTGAACTGAAGATGAAGAATTAGATATCCACAAATATAACGTCAACAATGATGATGGAAGAACTAATTCCGAAAATACAAAATAATTAAAAAAGATAAACTTTCAAATTATCATTTCATTTTTAATACATTGAATGCTAAATGTCCAGTTTCATATGATCGTAATAGTAATAATGAAACAGCGCCATCTCCTAGCAGTATGAAGAAGCTTGACCCACCATTCTCGCATGCTTATTTAGCAGTATTTGCCAGATTGCGATGATGATAGCTTGCTCCCATATTTAATGTATGATTCGAAAAATTTAAATCGAGATACATAAAGGTTTATTTCGATATTACAGTGTTAAACTCATGTATTGTATTATAAATATCCAAATCATCAGGACCCACAGATTACTAAGATTAAGTCTAAAGATCAGGACCGCAACAAGACATTATTAAAATCAGCGCCATCTCAAAGCAGTATGAGAAACTTGATCTATCCCTTTTTTTTTGACGGCTGCTTTTTAGTGTTACCCTTTTTTATTTACAAAACCACAGAAAAACATAGAATAATATTAATAATTTATTTTAATTAATAGGAAAAGGAGTCGCTTAGGTGTCATACAGATTGTATAAACAAAATGTTTTACTTTCTCTAAAAATATTATGGCTATGACTATCAGCAGCAAGTACAAATTATAATTTTGTTAGCTGGCCACACAAACCAGGTCAAGGAAGTGCAGAAAAACTGCTTGCTAAAAATATTTTTTGTATTTTTAACAAATGCAAATAAATATTATTGTTGCTTCTTCAAGATGATAGTTAGATAAATTTCTTTTCAGTTATGGTAGTGATAAGTGTGAGAGTGATAGGGACAGAAGAAAACTATCCAAAGTGACAGAAATAAGAATATTGCAAGAATTTTATTAAAAAGATTTGTTAATTTTGGTCTTAATTTGTCTATAATGGCCAACTATGTCATATTAAAGGTAAAGAGTAGTTCTACATTCAATAATTTTGTGAAAAAAAATGTCCTAATATTTGACCCAGATATCGTTCCGTGTGCGATGACCTATGGTTATGAATGCGGATTAAAGCGCGATGTTATTTTTAGGATACAGCTTTGCAGATAATTAAATATTTATAAATGACGAACGTGACACTGGATTGTGGATTTGAAATACAAACCGAAATCCACGTGACTTTTAAATTACACTAGGTGAGTTCTTTGTTTGAATCTTATCAGTTCGAAAAAACATAAAAACTATTTAAAAAAAAACCTTAATTAAAACAATTAAAATCCTTTTTACACATAACCTTCATTTGTTGCAGATTGAAGAAAGTAATAAGAAGTAAAAAAATGCCCCTACTCACAAGTTAACTCCCAGTTATGAAAAGGGAAAACTGAAACAGTTTGATTCAACATAGCAATGAATAGATTATGACTTCCTCTTAAGGGATCAATTTATAGATAGAATTTCATTTTTAAAAATACATTTTTATGATTGTTCCCACGGTATTAAAATTAGAAAGAAATTACAACTAGTAAAACACACTGCCAGATGTGATTTTACAATGGGTTTACAAATTCAAAATTTAAAAGATTCCTAAACAAAAATAACTGAGAGGCATATCATCTTTAAGTAGCTGCCCACCTATAGAGGCTTTATATGTCAGCCTTTGCCAAAAGAAGAAACAATGAATTCTGAATTTAAAATTTTATGAATTTAGTTACAGCAGTTGAAATGGTTACCTAGCACTTAGCTATTTTTGAAATTTACTAAAAGTGAGTGTGTTTGGGCTTTTAGCCCTTAAGCCGGGGTAAGACTCGGCAGTGATGAAGAAGCAAAATGTACGCACTCTATCTTTAATTGTGTGCACATTTACATATTTGCTGGTGGGTGCTGCAGTGTTTGATGCATTAGAATCTACCACTGAGAGACACAGATTTGAAGTTTTACAAGGTATGTATTTAAAAATTGTTTTATTTTTATGTTAAAAGGATGATGGCATCAACAATACTAAATACCCTAGATACACCATGAGCACTCAAAATGTGTCCCAATCAAGAAGTGCTTGAACACAACTCAAGCACTTCTTGGTTCACAGTCACTCGCAAACCATTGAAAAGTCAAGATACCGCAGAGCTCCATGAAAAAATCCAAAAAAAGACTTATAGTATGTGAAGTGGCATGCATACTTTTAATATAGTTAGGCATACCTAACTATATTAAAAGTATGCATGTAATTAGTGCTTTATCTATTACATTAAACTGCAACTAATTAATTCTACTCAGAAAACTGCTGTCTACCTGTTGTTATTGTAATTCAAAAATGTATATAATAAATCCGACTATTAATTACCATAATATCCAACCATTAATCACATGACTTGACTCTTCAAGTCACTTTGAGTTTTATCCTCAATGATATTAGGTTCACAATCTAATCAGAAAATTTTTACAGATTGTGGTAAATTGTTGTGTGGCTGCCTAGTATACAACTAAAAACAAAAATAATTAAATCTAGCATAAGATGGATGGATACTAACAAGATGGTCAATAAAATATTAACTTGGACAGTGTAAAAGTGTCTGAATATATTAATACTACTTCTAGCAAAAGTTTACAGCTGTTTATTACATAGTAAATAAAACAAAAGCATGCATAGCCTAGCTAACTGGTATTTATAATTATTTAATTTTCCTATAACAATGATTATCTCAATTTATGAGACTAGGTGGTCCATAAAAGTAGTTCTTACTATTTCTGTATTCTAAAAATATAGCCATACAGGATGGAATTACTATTTTCCTACCTTGTGTATTAATTATATTATTCATTAAACTAATTAATTGAATAATTAAGATATATACAATGACTATGATTTCAGCGAGAATTTCATACCCTCATTTGTTAATTTTGAACATTATGTCATATTGTTATATTCGTTAATATTTCAGTAACTTCTATTATAATTATTTCAGCGATTGAAGGCATAATAATAAGGAAATACAACATCACGGAAGAGGACTTCCGTGTGATGGAGACAGTGGTGCTCAAATCGGAGCCCCACAAGGCTGGTCAGCAATGGAAGTTCACAGGAGCATTTTACTATGCTACAACAGTGTTGACAACTATTGGTAAGCATACATTGGTATTGTACCTCTACTTGTACATTTTTAATAGTGATGCATCCAATACAAATACGGATATGTCTGCATTATTTTGGGTTTGCCAATATATCGCATCGGCGATATTTTTATGGCCGATTAATCGATTGTCATATAAAAAAATAAAAGGGGGAACTTTCATGTGGGCAAAACAAAGGAGAATGGTCATTTTACTTTGGGAGTTGGGCTAAGTTTTTTTCATTGCGTCTTATTGGAATAAGTGTAAAACAATAGGGAATCAGGTGTATATTGCGTAGGAAAAATATCATTAGAAACTTAAGTAGTGGTTTAAAGAAAATATTAAATTACGTAAGCATTTTAAGGTTATGTCATATTTAGATTCGATTAAATTTGATATTTATACCATACTTAATTATTACTAGGTATACTACTTTAAACTGTATTTAATTAGGTTGTGACCTTTTGTCTTCTATTTTGGACTGGGAGTGAAACAAAAATTGAATGCACTTCGTAAAATCTTATCAACGGGCAGCGTATATTTGTAAACTGTTGCGTTGGTGAGCTGCTATCTATCTCTATTTATTCCAAACATCTCAGATTCAATAAATGTGGCGTTGTTGAGGTGCGGTTATATTAGTGCTATTTATACTTATTCTCTTTACGCTCAAGCTGCACCTTTGATGCTCTGTTAACCCAACAATGGATCTAATATTATTTAAGGTTTAGGAATCAAAAATAAATAAGACAAAATATTTTAATAATGATAATCATTTATTGATAACACATTTATCCAAATCGACATTATTAATGTGATATTTTTATTTTATATTTTTGAGGTTATGCCGTATCCAGTGGAACTGTAGTGACTTCGCCTAAAATATCTTTTGTAACTCGCCACCATGTCCTGTTGAGTTTGAAATATCCAGTTAAAGCTCTGCTAAGTTCAATTAACACAGCAGTTTATACATTAAGCGTGCTCTAATCCTGGTTTATATATTGCCTTTTTTTAAAAAAGAATTGACTTATATACCTTCTTCAAATACCTCATCTAAAAATGTAGCTGGAGCATGTGTATCGTTAAATCGCCCCCAGCTAAGGTACCAAACTACCGTCATTACGTGTGCGCAACATCCTACTGTCCTTTTGCCTACAATACAACTGCAGCAATAGCCAACTAAACAACTTAGTGAGTTGGCTATATTGGTGTCACGGCTGACTAAAATGTAAACAAAATAGGTGCGTCCACCAACGTGTCTAGACTTAATACGTCCTCTAAGCAGATAATTGTTTAAACCTAATACAAGGGGAACATCTTCATCTATTTCAGTATTTATTTCTATGGAATATATCCCAGACGATCGAATATGTTCCCCATAATATGATCGCGCCTGCTTTAACTGATAAGTGCCTAATGCAAAGCGTTTTAAATCAGTGATGCTTAAACTGGGAAAGGTTTCCAAGTGAGGATGATTGCCATCAATTGCAGAAAACATTGCACGTCTTCTGTTAAGATTTTGAGTTTCTACAAACTCGGCCAAATGATTGGACTCATTAAGCCGATTTTGAGCAATAGCTACATACTCGCTTGCTTCTGGAGGATCCTGTATTAAGGGATGAAACTTATTTAACAGAGCACATGCAATTCTTAAATCATCTTTTAAATGAGTTGCAGCTCTGTTATTAAATACATGCCTGAACAATCTAAAATCTCGTTTTATACGTCCATTTACTATTTCAACCACCCAGCGACACATTGTTACAAATCTAGATTTGTTAGCCTGAAGGGTAGTGAGTTGATGTTCACCATCTAATAATGATTCAGGCATGTAAGCTTTAAAACCAAGATCCTCCATAAATTCAATTACGTCCCGAAACCCCCTATCCAGAATAAAAACATCATCCTGCCGGAAAAATGAACGCAGTTTTCCTTCTTCATTATTTAAATCATGCCTTGTTATTGAAGCATCATTAGTGGTTGCTTTATAGGGACCCATACAATCTATAATATATCTATCACAACACACAACCATAAAAGGTTTAACTAAATTATCAGATTTTTGTAAACTATATGATTCTTTTTGAAAACGATAATTGCTGCTGCTCTGGACAAATATATAAGTTGCGTCACACATAACAATAGCGGGTTTAATATCATTTGGTAAGATTGGATTACCAAACAATCCCTCCGGGATTATTTTATTTCTGCTGGCCACTTGCTCCACATTTACATGACCAAAGCCCAAATGTCTTGACACAAAATCTTCAATTGAACAACTTCTAGCTATATTCATTTTTCTCTCCAAGGTCCTACGAGACATTTGAAAGAGGGAACTTAATCGTTCATTGCTGTCCCCAGTTCTTAACTTGACTATGTAAATACAGAGTGCTAAACGGGGATTTTTGACACTCTGTAATAAGCTTGGTACACATGCCAAGAGTTCATCAAACTGTTCAGCATTCATTCCCAGCCAATAATGGCATAAGAAAGGAGCCATTGCAGAAATATTTTCAAAGTCGAAACAATGGGAAACTGCTCTCTGCATTATATTCAAAATGGCATCAAACTGTACACCAGTAAAATCTTGCAGATTTGATGTTAAATCACTCCAACGCCCATTATTCAAGTGATGTTGACATTTTCTACTACATGTGGGAACATAGAATTTATTATGTATTAATAACATTTCTCTTATTACTCTGGGTACTAATAAACATTGTTGTTCCCGGTATCCTGAAAACAGACAACTCAATGAAGTGACTACAGCACGCTTATATACTGATGACTGTATCTTAGGTATAACAGGTCTTGAAGGCTGAACAGGTAATAGACCAGCGGGAAATGGTGGTGGTACTGGGATCACTGGTACAGACTCTGTTGGTTCTACATCAATTTGTTCAATTGATGACCGATTCGCATCATGTAACTGTTGCCTTTGCACTTCCCTATTAGCTGCTCGCCAACAGGCAGCACAAACTCTTGAAATTCTTGACACCTATAAAAAAAAGATAAGTGAACTTGAATTTAATGAAAAACCATCTACAACTATTTTATGCAATAGAAATATATTTCTTATAATAATAATAATAAATCATTTATCTGACAAGATATGGTAAATTATACAGATCTCAAAAATATAACAAATACACAAGTAGCTTCAGTATTATCCAGAACTCAATCTTTAAAAACTATATATATTATTTATATACCATAGTCATGATTGAGTTAGTTATTATATAATCAATTTCATTAATATGCTACATGACAATTGTGCAATGTAAAAAAAAATGTCAAACTCATGTTTCAGTTAGTATTGAAATCAATTTAAATAAATTATTATTAATATAACATTTCAATCATGCAATGCAAAAATAATAATAATGTCACAGTCATGTTTTAATTAGCATTGAAATCAATTTTAATAATTTATTATTGATAATAATATCTTAAACTATACCTGATGTGCTGGAGTCCATCTAAGAATAATATTTCTTTCTGGACAGTGTAGTGAAACCCTGTACGATCGACTTCTTAATATGGATTTTCCACAACCAAAACAGACTTGTTGATGGCCATATTGTGGTGCAGGTACTTCTTCGGTGGTCAATATCTATAACAAGTCAAAAATATTTATATTTATTTGAACATGTGAATGAAATTAAAACATTATCTCACGGTTGCGATTGTATAACGATATATTTTTAGTAATATAAGTAAATAATTACTTACAGAATCAGGTGCGATCCATGAGCTTAAAACATTAAGCATTGAATTGGATAGCGTGTCCAAAGAATGTACTGGCTGTCGTCGTGGCACTGATATACAACAGTTAATACAACGTCGTTGCATACTGCCTGCGTTTTCTTGTGTAACACCAGATGCCATTGTAAACAAAAATAATTACAATAAACTAAGAGTCCAAATATCTCTGTCAGAATTTACGAGTCCAATGCTCTCTTTCCCAAAAAAAAGTTATTAACGGAGGATTACTCAACTCAACATTAAAACTATTCTGCCACAATAGACCACTGAAAACACAAATTCAATTCAAAATTGAAAACTGTAGTTAGTCACTCGGAACAAACAACAAACACGTTGAGATGTTGACAACAAGTTGACAGCTACCTACTTCACTTGCCTATGGTATATATTTCGATTTGATTCTATAGGATCGATTCCTACACAATCGATTAATAAATGTTTTATTTTTCAATGCAAATGCTTAAAATGTTCAAACCATGAGTTAATTTATATATGATTAAGTAATTATATATAACATAACTGATAATTTAAACAAAAATATATTCCCTTTTTTAATCTAAGATGTGAATATGTACTACACATATAAAAGTTTTTGTATGCGATCTACTGTTTGATGAACAAAATAGTCCGCAGACAAAAAATCCTCTTTTGCGCAGCCCATTAAGTTCCTTTTAGTTTTTAGATGCAATGAAAGAGAGCAATCCCTGGTAGGTACAGTGAGATAGTCACAACACAGGTCTTACAAATGATAACTTTATGAATTTAATGTTATTTATCATGATATAATATTGGTAAAAATGCTCGTATCCATCATACAAACATTTACATCACCGGAATTCGAAACCAGGCCCTCTGAATAGGCGATTTGGGGAAAATAATCTATCCATCGATCCATACAAAAATCAAACAACTCGCATCGAAGACCTCAAAATAAAAAATGACTACGAATTAACGAATGATCATTATTTCGTAGTCATTTACGGTGTTTGGTAAAAATGTTTCAGGCTATTTACAATTGTTCTATGCTTTCAATTACAATAAACGTTTTATTTTTTCTTTTTGAAGAGGAACTTCTTTACGCACTCTTGACTTGGGGAGTAAGCTAGCGAACGTAAGCGTTAAGAAAAGTGTGATCGGGCGAGGCGAACGGGAGTTGAGTGGGGGATGTAAGCATGAGAAAGCAGTGCGCGTGCACATTTTCTTTCTCTCTTCCTCTCATAGCCAAATACGTTCCGTATATCTAAGCACA